ATCATAATTAAATTAATTTACAAATTAACTTCATAGTTACTTAATTCTTCTAGTTGGATTGTAAGAGAAGTATTAAGTCATATCTTGATGACTTTGTTTTCATTCTGGAACTTTTTTTGATGTAAATTTAACCTGGGTAATTCAAATATCGTTTAAGAAGCTTAACATTTTACTTTCTGTATCATTTTATGAATAACCATAAAATGTATCTGTTTATTTTATAGTTTATATGAATCAGGATCCAGATGAAGTACATAGTAGATTAACATTGCATTTTTTAAAATAGCTTTTTTCTTTTTTTTTTCTGAGACAGGATCTCACTCTGTTGCCCAGGCTGTAGTGCAGTGGCATGATCACAGCTCACTGTAGCCTCATCCTCTCCAGGCTCAGGGGGTCCTACCTCTTGAATAGCTGGACTACAGTCTTGTGCCAGAATGCCTAGTAAATATTTTGTAAAGACGGTGTCTTGCCATGTTGCCCAGGCTGGTCTCGCACTCCGGGGCTCAAGCAATCCATTTTCCTGAGTTTCCCAAAGTGCTGGAATTTTAGGCCTGAGCCACAGCACCCAGCTAAAATAGCTCTTAACTCTTCTCTAAATTATAGATTCACAATTTCTTCATTTTCTCTTGGAATTTATAGGCTTAATCAGATTCAAGATTGTTTTTGACAATACAGATCTATGAATGAATATTTGTTTCTTCATTTAAAAGCTTCTAATTGATCCTTTCCCAGGAGAAATATATGCCATGCAGAGAAGCTTTTACTGCTGGATTAGTCACCCTGTAAGACAGAAAAGTCAGTCTTCTTCAGATACGTATGTGACAAAATTCGCAAATATGGCAAAGACACTGAAGAAAGTGAGAGCAGTTTTCAGGTGTATGTAATGGGAAAGACATATTTGATAGTAGGTAGCATTCATTTATAAAATGTTCCTGGCCAACTGAGAATCAGGAAGAAAATTATAATTATATAACGAGTTGTATCCTAATACTTCTGAGGAAAAATAAGTTCTGCTATGACAGCAGGTTAGAGGGAGATGGTTATGACAGAATATGGCAGAAATGATCTCAAATCCATGCTCATGAACTTTTTATCATGGGACAGCAAGGCAGATAGACTTTAAAATTAATTAATCAGAAAGGCACTTCCTAATTTCAAAGCAACCAGAGCAAAGTGCTGATGTGAAACAGTAATTAGTCCTCCTCACTCAGGGAAAACAAAAATAAAAACAAAAACTAACAAAGCAAACACAGACCCTGAAATACAGGACAGTATAGTGTAAACTTGTAAATCTATAGCCTATAAGAACTTTGAAGGTGCAAGATTACTGTTATACAGGGTGGTCATTATGAGTACTACAGAGGAGCTGGGATAATGGATATGCTTCAAGGGATTGTTAAAATGGAAGTATAAATAAATGAATATGTGGAATTCTACATAAAATATGCATTGCATGAACAAAAATGAGTAGCTGGGAATGACACAATATGCTCAAAGAATAGCTGTAGATCAGCATTTAAAAATATGTATAATGATCACCTGCATAAATGGTACACCACGGCCAGGTGCGGTGGCTGACTCCTGTAATCCCAGCACTTTGGGAGCCTGAAGTGGGTGGATCACGAGGTCAGGAGATCAAGACCATCCTGGCTAATACAGTGAAATTCCGTCTCTACTAAAAATACAAAAATTAACTGGGTGTGGTGGCTGATGCCTGTAGTCCCAGCTACTTAGGAGGCTGAGATAGGAGGATCACTTGAACCAGGGAGGTGGAGGATGCAGTCAGCAGCCAAGATCACACCATTATACTCCAGCCTGGGTGACAGAGTGAGACTCTGTCTCAACAAAACAAAACAAAGCAAAACTAAAGAAAGAAAAGATAAAAGAAAAAAATAAGGCACACCATATTGTTCTGGAGTGAGGACACAAACTATCCTGGTTTTTGGTCTACTTTAGCCATGAGCCACCTCAGATAAGCTATTTAATGTCTTTGGGTTTCTGTTTCTTTACTTATGAAATGAGATTAGACTGGCTTAAAATTCTCTGATTTCTGGGATAAGTAAACTTTTTGAATGATGAACAAGTTAATTTCTAATTAAGGTCAATACCAAATCTAATAATAAAATAAGAGCCTGCCATCTGCTATCATAATCATTTTTTAAAGAAGGTATATTTAAAAGTAGAAATGGAAGTGAAGGCAGGAACTGGTCTCAGATGGTCTTAGTGTGTGTGAGTGAGTGTGTGTGTGTGTGTGTGAGTGTGTGTGTGTGTGTGTGTGCTTGTGTCTGTGTGTGAGATAATTTACATTAAAACTAACCACATTGCTCTTGTTTTTTATTTTGATATTGATTGTTAAAAACCTTATCATACAGTCTACCTAATCAGCATTTGGGAATCATAGTCTAGTTGATATTTAAGGGCCCTTCCCTTTGTGACATTCAGAGAACTCATAACTAGGGTAAATACTCCATTATACTCTGCCTATTGTCTTTGAGGAAGCTAGTAAACACTCCAGTACCTTATCTAGCCCTTACAGGTACAGCATATTACTGGGTCTGTCAGAACACTTCTTTTGGGGGATACAGACAGGTATGCCGGAAAAAAAAAAGTCATGATGGAATCCAGGACAGTTGTCTTCTAATCCATATTTTGTCATTCCTAGCTAGATAAGCTTGTTCATATTATGGAAATACTATCTGAAAGTTTAAGATTAACATACTGCCTTACCTATTTCGTTGGGTTGTTGTAAGGTAAATGAGAACATATTTTCATTTTTAAAAATAAACTCTAAAACTACATAAATTATTAATAAAAATACTAATATGTGAAATCCCCCAAATGAACACAAATTTTCTAATTCAGAGCAGGTTGTAGATTTACGGTTTTAATCATTGAAATAGCTCTCCAAACACTAAACTACAAAAATTAGAATCCTGTAGATGGTATTCCTTTTTTCTAAATCTCTAGAAATAAGATGTATATAAATTACCTTAAATAGTTACTATTGTTATAAAATTTTAGAATGACAACATAATCAAACGTGTCAGCCATCAAGTCACATCATTTTTTTCCCTACACATTTGAAATTTTATCTGCAGTTTGGCATTGACCAAATGTTGAGAGTCACTAGAACTTAAGTTCACCTATGAATAAAAGTAAGCATAAGTGGAAATTAGGACTTTGATGAAGGTGCCTAAGAAAAAATGATAAAATCTAGTAACTATGTTCCAAATGAAAAGAAGTTTGTCTTTTCTGGGTTGGAGAACACTAATTATAAAAGATTTGGAAGAAGTGTACCATACCTAATTGCATGAAATTAGCAAATTGACATTTCTGAAAATGGCAGTAATTACAACTGTACAGTGTTATTAAACAACCTCCTACTAGATAGTTCTGGTATTTTACTGTTCATCACTGAAAGCACTTAACTCTTGTCATTTCTATGGGAACTGTATCTGTAAGAGTTGTATATTTATGTAACATATTTATGTAAGCTTAGGATTAATTTTTTTTTTGATATTTAAAGTTATCAAGATAGGTGGTCACTGAATTAAGAACAAGATTTCACCCCCAACCCCAACTATCAATGGAGCAGTGATATTGTGGCTAAAAAATTATTTGGGAAAGACTCAGAAATAGATGGCTTCAGATATGGTTTTTGTAATTTTCATGGAAGAAATGAAGATAGTCAAAATAGGGCTACCTATTTTGTTTACAAGTATATTCACATAAAACTCAAAATTGAAAAGTGATTTTCTCAACATCATACTGTGTTGTAATTTTATTTTAATTGAAAATGGTAAACCGAATTTTATTTTTTATGGAGTCATGGGCAATATCTGCCTTGATCCTGATATATTCACAGGATCTAATAAATTTATGGTGCCCAGGAGGTATTCAATAAAGGCTTGTGGAATTTATGAAAAAATAATCTTCAGTACTTCAAGTTTCAGATATGATGGAGAGAATGCTTCTAACAAAGGCTGAAAAATATTTCTGATTTATGTTATGGAATCTTAAAATACAGATATAATGACATTGATTTGAGTTAATAGAATATCAAATTTTTACTTAATGTCCTACTTCAGTATGAAACAATGGAAAAAAGAAAGGCAAAAGGCCTTATTTAATATTTTACTCCATTATGATTCAAAATGATTTATTCAAAATAACTACTTTTTTATAATTCTTATTTATCCTTATTTGACTAGCCAAATGGCTATTAAAATATTTTTTAATACCATGGACCATTTGGTTATTCAATGAGTTTACATTTACAAACTAAAAACAATAATTCAGTCAGACCAAAATCTAAAGTCTAAAAATAATACTTCATAAAATTAATTTTAGATAAATCATACTACCAGATTTATTTCATTCTAACTAGCCCTATATCTATTGGTCACAAAATATCAACTGAAATTGATATTATTTTGGCATTCCAATGAAAATGAAAAGAACTGTTATCCCAAAGCATTAGATTAGACAAATTTTCAAGATCCTGCCACAACTTGATTATATGTTCTCATAGTTTTAACTGTAGATCTGTGACAGGGTTAGGTTCATCAAAAAGATCTTTATGACTGATGGTTTGGCTAGAGTCATTATTGACACGGTATTTATGTAAAAATGTATAGACTTACAAATCACTCATTCTGCTACTTATCAGAATAACTACTTTTCAATACAAGAACCAAGAAGTAAAACAGATCTGAGTCACACCCTAACGCAACACAAATGTTCCTTTTATGCAGAGGAGTAATTCCATGAGGAAAATATCACATTGAGCTTATTATTAAATGCAAAAAATTATTTGACTTCATTGCAAAAGTTAAAGCAAAAATTTTACCCTACAATGAATGTAATTCTTAGAAGAAGAAAAGTAAGTTGTTACTGTTAAAATGCTCATCACAACATTAATTTCTTGGTAGATATATACTGTATGATTCTGTAGCCATGTGTCCTTTCTACTCACTGCACATTCCTCTTACTTATGCTAGGTCTGGACAAAGTGCCAAAGGATCTTCCCCCTGACACGACTTTGCTGGACCTGCAAAACAACAAAATAACTGAAATCAAAGATGGAGACTTTAAGAACCTGAAGAACCTTCATGTAAGAACTATTTTTTCAATCACAATAAGACTCAAAGTATTTTTCAAAATACAACCTAGATAAGGCCAACAGTATTATCTATCAACAAAGAAGCACATTAGTGTATATTAACATCACTGTTTAGCAGTGGTAGGGAAGCAAAGCATCATATTCATTAGCCACTAAAATTTCATCCAGTTTTATTTTACATATACTCCATGTATCTTAGGTATTTTTTTCTTAAAAATACTTTAAATCTTAATTTTCTCTGACAGTTTTGGGAATAAAAATGGCCTTACAAATTAAATTGTACTTTAATAGTGGAACAAAATGCAAAATGGACTGATCCTAGTATTGTTTTATTTGTTTCCATACATTTTCTGAGAAAAGTGTGAATGATGTTCTAAAGTCTCAAAGATTGGCATCAAGGAAAGAAAAGACAATTATTCATATTTTACTTAGTAAAATATAATTCTATCTTGAAAACAAGAGACATATATATATATATGTCTCTTGCTTTATATTTAGGATTATGTATTTTGTAATCTTATCTGTATGCTTATTTTGATTTTCACTTACTTCTCTACCCTCTCATAATGTTCAGTCTATCAGTCAGGATTTCATTAGAAAAGAGATGCCACTCACAAGGGGTTTCATGGAGGAGAAGTTATTGAAACCTCTATTTGCAAAGGGACATGTGACCCCAACAAGGCACGGTGAGGCACCCAGTCCCACAAAGGTCTAGAAAAATTTGGGGGTCTCAGAATCATGGGAGATCTGGGGGACTGTAGTTCCACTTCCTAATTTCCTGCCTGTGTCTCCTATGGTTGCATCTACTTGAGACCAAAAGACGAGGCCATTTGATTGATGCATTTCCCAGAGGTCAGCTTCCTGGGACATGAAGAAGAGCCCCCCAAAAGGGCAAAGAATGAATATAGTGGCAGTTGGGAGAGAATATGCTATACAAGAAGAATGACCAATCTCAAAAAATAGAGGCAACCCTTGCTAAGGCAACCTGTAAGAGTAAATACACTGTTTGTTCACATGTAACACCAGAATCACTATAAAATGCATTTTCTTGCCCAGCTGTCTATCCCTGTGATGAGTGTGATGTGGTCTTCCCTCAAAACAAGAGTGAACATTAAATAAAAATAAGCCAGACTTCAATGTCCAAAATATATACTCTGGAAATCTCACCGTATCTGCTTCCATTCTGGTAGATCACTCTGAAGTATTGAGTCTTGTTCTTGGCATTTTAAGAAAGGCATTAAAGAACATCTAGAGATGGATGACCATGGAGGTAAAGAATCTGGAAATTAGGTCTCATAGGCACAGTGGATGGAGAGGTGGATGTCTAAACTGGGTGATGAGGTCAGTAGTGGCGTATTTGAAGGGCCATGTTGAACAAAAAGAATTGTATTTACTTGCTTCAACTACAAGATTACAGAATCGTCCTAGTAAGTAGAGTTTAGGGAAGCAGATTTTTATTCAACATTAAAAATAAAATTTAATGTATTAGAATTTTCAGAAATAAAGACTTACCTCATGATTTGTTACCTGCCTGTGTAAATCAGAGTTCACAGCTTTGCATAATGAATGTCATAGGAAGCATTCTTAATGTTGGAAGCATAAACATACCAAACTCTAATTTCATACTTATTTATTCTGGTCATTATAGAAAATAATTGAGGAGATATATCATGAAAATAGGCAATACCTACTACAAGATAAATATAAAAGAAATAATGGGATATACCTTAGAATAAAAAATACAGATACAGGGGAAATAATGTAACATAAAATAGGACTGGTCATAATTATTACACAGTTACTATAATCAAGATACAGTTTAGTTACAAACTTTCCAACAGCCACGATGGGAAAAGCAGTAAACTTGTATCCATTAGAAGAAAATATACTGTATTTTTTAAAGGAAGAAATAATTTTTTTTTCTAAAATTTTGATATTCTACATGGAACCATTTAAAAAATGTCAGATAAAACAGTGCCATGATCAACTTATTGATGTGTCCAACAATATAACAAGAACATAAATAGTGGCATAGTAAAAGAAAAAATTAGGCATCATTATTTTTCCAATTACCAGATACAATTTTGAGAGAATACACGAGGAAGGAGTTTTAGATGATCAGCAGAAGTTTGAAAGGCAGAGAGAAAAGGGCTCTCTGAATAAGAAGGAAGCAAAGACAGAAGAAAAAGAGTAGCAGACAAATACAAATACAAATACAAATTGGCTAGAGTGAAAGAAACAGCTGTAACAATGAAGGGTAAGAACAAGCTGGTGGTTCCAACCTTTGGGTCTCTTTCCACTGATTTGAACCTTATTCACCAACTCCCTGCCTTCACCTTAAGGTTTCTCTGGGAGTGAGTTGATGGTGAAAACAGCAAGGTTTATCAATGATTATTTAAGCTACCATTGGCATAAGTTTAAAAAGGAGACCATACAAAATGAATATTATTAAATTTAGATTACTAAAATATTTTTAAAACTTTTATTTGCACAAGTTTGCCTTATACTACTTTTTAAAGGATGAAACGTTCTGTAACTCTCATCTCAACTTCCTGTACATTTAAGTATAATCTGAGTGGGTTTTTTTTACAAAAACCCTTTATATCCTTAAATAAGAGACATCTAGTGTCTGTGGCATTCTCATTAAATCTGGCATTTGTAATAATGTGTTCTTTCTTTTCCCAAGTCTCCTTCTAAGTATGTTTTTAGGCAGCCATCATCTCGACAATCTCTTTCTTTCTACTTCAAAGTATACAACGGATGAATAGAGTTCATTAGAGCCTTTAACCATTCAGAGGATGTTAAACAGCTATTTTTCTCTTACTCTTTCATTCATGATCCTTTCTACCCTTGTTATTATGCAAATAAACATCATAATTTTAGATAGCAAAGCCATACTTAGGAAGGAGAGAAATGAAAATTTAGCAAGGATTAAAATAAAAAGAATTTAACAGAATCAATTTCCCTGTCTGTGCCTCATTATGAGTGGTAGGTATTGCATAAGAGTAATTTTATACATCTATAGTAGGAAACACTATGTATTTGCTCTATACAATAATGGGAAATTAAGTATGGTAATGCCAACATTTAATGTATTTTCTTTGAATTGAAGCTTAATCTTCGTAAGTCAAGTAAGGAAGACTTTTTAATTAAAAATCAACAAAAATTGTCAAAGACTGAATAAAAGCAAATACTTGTTTAGCAATTACTGTATATGCTAGACACTGTTTTAGTACCTTATAAACATTAAGTTACTTAATTCTTGTAACTATTTTTATGAGGTAGTCACACTTGGTATCTTCTTTAAACAGCCACAGAAAGGTTAAGGTACTTGCTCATAGTCACAGACCAAATAAGAGCCAGAGCTTGAGATTCTAAGCTCTGATTTCTGGCTTGAGTATTTACACTAATAATTGCCAATAAATATGACAGTCACCAAAAAAGCCCTTAGAACAATAGCTGATACAGTGTAAGCCCTCTGTAAGTGGCCTTGAAGAAAAAAAATGTTATTACAAGTCAGGTTTCAAAAACATTTAACACAAAACAGTTTTGAAATCATGTTTAATACATTTAATTATATTACAATTTAAAAATTTTCCTCCATGGATAGGAATTGAATACCTCCTTTATGATTTTCATTAGGCACCCACAATTTTGGATGTCTTATAATGATATATGTCACCTCACTCTACTCAGCAGGCTCTGGCTTTTCCCTGAATTTTTGTTTATTAATGTCAAATTTTTTATGACCTTAACTCCCATGAGTTTTTGAAGTTATTCACCCCAATGTGTTAGGATTTTGTATTAATCAACCAATGCATCATTCATGATTAGTTAAAAGATTATATTACTTAATAAGTTTTAATTTATTGAATAATGTGAACTATATGAGGATGTACATAGATTAATTAATCAGCTATTAACTTTAGAAAACATTCTTACATTTGTATTTCTGTAATAGGACAGGGAGACCAAAAGTTCGCTTTTTGCCCCTCCACATTCTCATGTTTGCAAAAGATATGCAACAATTGAAAATGCAAGGTTCTTAGATCTTAATAAGTTGTTTTAAGTTCCTTATAATTAGTTAATAAAGTGCCTTAATAAAACAATGTGGTTTTGTTAGACATACAGATAATCAAAAAAGAATAAAATAGTTGAAAAATAGGCCTAGCAATCGTTATAATTATAATGAATTAGAGGTAATTTATGTAAAGGGAACTCAGAAATAAAACCCAAATAATTACACAAAATACTAACATATTTGTCATATAAAACCTTTGTATTTGTCATATAAAACCTTTACACCTAAAAAAAGGCAAAAAACTTCAGGAGAAACTATGTTAAGTCTCTCTGTATCATATTGACTATATTTTATTCTCTAAATCAATTATTAAAATATATTAAAATTTAATAAACACAAGAAGTATTTGTGATCAGGCAATCTCCTCTCTCCAAAAAATACAATAAATCGTAGGAAAATAAAAGAAAAATTGTTTAACCTTTTTAAATGACAAGGAAATACAAAGAAAAGCGATGAGCTACAACATTATATTATTTTGACCATACTCTTAAGAAAGGTAATATCAAATATTGCAAGGCTGCTGGAAAATTTTAGTTCCTTTCATTGATGGTGATAGCATAAATTGGTGTTATCTTTTGTAGTAAAATCTGTGATCACAGTCAATGAAGACAGACTTAGGTTAAAAAGCTGAGTGGGGGATGGATATCTGTGGCATGATTATTTTCAAGTTTCTTGGGTCATTTCAATTGTTAGGAATATCTATTATTTAAAAATTATATATATACACATGCACATATACATACATGTCTGGGTGTGTAGGGTGTATATATGTTGATGTATATATTATATATCTTATTTCGTTTCCCTCCTTTTCATTCTTGATTTTCACATCTTCATATTATACATTTTTTTTTTATTTGTTTGAATCAGAGGCTTGCTCTGACACCAAGGCTGGAGTATAGCAGTGCAATCTAGGCTCACTGCAACCTCAGTCTCCCCCAGGTTCTAGTGCTTCTCCTGCCTCAGCCTTCCAAGTAGCTGGGACTACAGGCACACACCACCACACCCAGCTAATTTTTGCATTTTTGGTAGAGACAGGGTTTTGCCATGCTGGCCAGGCTGGTCTCAAACTCCTGGTCTTAAGTGATCTGCTCACCTTGGCCTCCCAAAGTGCTGGGATTATAGGCATGAGCCATCACACCTGGCTTAATTTCAACTTGCTGTGATTACACATGTAGGCCACCGCACCTGGCCTAATCTTAACTTGCTTTTTTTTTTTTTTTCTGATTTCTTGCAATTTTCTAGATTTCTCTGCTAGCCCTAAGAATGGACTGAATAAGCATTCACTTGTTTGATATATATATGGAACATTTTGGATTAAAGATGTTTTTATTCCCTTACTACAGGCATTGATTCTTGTCAACAACAAAATTAGCAAAATTAGCCCTGGAGCATTTACACCTTTGGTGAAGTTGGAACGACTTTATCTGTCCAAGAATCACCTGAAGGAATTGCCAGAAAAAATGCCCAAAACTCTTCAGGAGCTGCGTGCCCATGAGAATGAAATCGCCAAAGTGCGAAAAGCTACTTTCAATGGACTGAACCAGATGATTGTCATAGGTATAGACATTTTTATGATTTTAAGACGAAAACTCAAGTTTTATCATAAGAGACTTCACTGGGTTTTAGGTGCAGGAAGGTAAATTAGCTACAACCTACATGCCTGGAGCCTATGTTATTTATAAGAGCAGGGCCAAGAGAAATTGGGATTTTGAATCTGGACCTTTTAGTGATATTTTTATGTCTGTTTTTGAGTATCTGAGTATGTGGAGAAAACCCTAGGACTGAAGTTACCCTGCCACATGCTCAATATGCAAAGATGAATTTATATAGTGCTTAACTACAGATATTTTGAGATACTTTTCCATTTTGGGGACCTGTTGTATTCTAAACACTCAAAAATCAGTTGCTTTAAAAATATGTTATAATGTTTCACTAAACATATGGTAAAAATTATAATTTTATTATTGGCTTACAAAATGCTAGATTGAAATTCTTTAACAAAATTTTAAAGTTTCTTAGAAAAGTAATAAATAACATAAGATGGGATTTGTTAACTTGCTTTAATTGATTTCTGGGCAAGCCTGTGTATGCATCTTAAATAATTTATTCTTATTGCTTTCACTAATAGTCTTTTTCATGAGTCATTATTGTTTGGTTGGCTTTTGTTTGTTTTAATAAGGGAAAGTTTTATCTCATTTCACTATTCTTCTGAGGAGCATGCCCTTTAATTTCACTTTTGTTTTTCAGTCAAGTTGATATTAATCTCAATTTTTTTATAGTTTACTCGCTGAAACAGATACTACAGTGACTAGTAATATCCTAAAATGTCCTCTAAAAGCCTTGCACTTATTATATTTGTAGAACTGGGCACCAACCCACTGAAGAGCTCAGGAATTGAAAATGGGGCTTTCCAGGGAATGAAGAAGCTCTCCTACATCCGCATTGCTGATACCAATATCACCAGCATTCCTCAAGGTGATGGAAGATTCTCCAAAACATTTTGAAAAACTTAAATTCAAAGACTTTGATTAAAAAAACGTTGTGGGAATTTGAATTGTCAACGAAGTGGGCAAACTTATTTCCAGCAAATTCTCTATTACTGGAAGTGCTTCCAACTGGGTGAGCACTGGGTCATCCAGGCTCACTGTAGAGATGGGTAGACTCCTGTTCAAGTCTATTGTAAGACATAACTTAATGCACAGTGATTTCATATTGTAATATTGTGAGATTACAAAGAAACAGTACATTGATTTTTTAAAAAGTTGTATGCCTTGGTGTTTGTAAAAAAAAAAGATATGGGAGATATGGAGATATGGGAGTATTCTGAAATTGATCCAATTTTTACCCTGAGTCTGCAATTGGGGAATTTTTTCTTTTTTAAGACATTCCAGTTATTAATGTCTGAATGATAGTGGTGGTTGTATGTTGTAAAAATGTAGATTTTGGAGTCAGTTCAAAGACTTTGAAAAAGTTATTCATCTGTGCTCTGTTTCTTTATCTGTCAAGTGGAAATACTGCTATCCACTTCATTGAGTTGTTTTAAAGTTAAATAAATAGAGAAATATTTAGCATATACGTAGGAGTTTAGTATAACTTTTTATTATTCATTAAAGATAGTCTGAACACTCAGTATGTGTAGGCAATGTATCACACACTGAAGACAGGTCAGTGAATAGGATATGCTACATGCCTTTAGGAGCTTACTATCTAAAACCAAGCCAGACAAATACATAGCAATAACCACGTAATCCGAAGGGTAAGCTCATCATTCCAAGGGATACCCAGGAGAGACATAAAAAACAGACTTGGTGAATTAGAAAAGGCATCAAACCACCAATAATAAATTCCTCTACCTTGCACATTGTCCCTACTCTGTGATTTTCAGCCTCACAAAAGCCCCTTTATATTCTCTAGTTTTCCCCTCAGTCTGTCCCTTTCTCAACTCAGATGCCTTGTTCTTGACTGCGTACAAAATCTAGGTATTTGCCCAGAGAAAACATCAGTTATCCTTTATTGTTCTTTTACAGAAATGCAACTCCTTTGAGTACGTATTCCATAGGATGCTTTCTTACCAGTCCTTACCCTCTCCATAGTCTTGAATACAGAGCTTCCTTTTGACTTTGTTAGTAGCAACTACTGGGACAGATGGATGGATAGATAGATATATAAATAGATAGATATATAGATGATAAAGACTGATTTATAGTTTAGAAAGAACTTTCATGTTGAGTCTTCAATTTGTTCCATGTAGCAAGTGATCTTTCGCTATCCTCAGTGCAGGAATAAAATATTTGTATCTCAAGTAGATATAAATTTGGCATTGATATAGATAGATAGATAGATAGATAGATAGATAGATAGATAGATAGATAGACAGTTGACAGATAGATCGAACTTTCTAAAATTCTTGCTGAAATTTATTTCATGCTGCCAGATGACTTACATTAAGCACAATCTCAGACTTCACTTTCCTTCTTAATGCATCCTACAAACTATCCTTCAGTAATATCTTTTATCACTTCATGATCTGTTTTCCCTTGCTTTCCTGTGTCTTTCTATCCCAGGTATTCTTTCCTCATCATTTATAGCTTGCTTTTGTTTGCTACAACTTAGCAGAAAAATTAAGCGGTTACAATTTTTTAAGCATGTATTTAGTGCCAGATACCATGCCAAATGCTTGTCATAGAGTCTTTTATAGGATTCTTACAACATCCCTATATAGTTGTATTATCATTCCTGTTTTATAAGAGTGGAAAATGAAGCTTAAACAGGTAAAGTAAATTGTGATTAAGTTCTTAGAGGTAGGAACTAGCAGAGATGGAATTGTATGGTGCTGATATCAGAACTCATGTGTTCAACTATTTCACTCTGTTGCCATATTAAATTCTTGGCATTAATTACACCAACCTGGGTGAGAGCCCCCACTCACTCATTTAGTCGTACAGTGACTTTAGGATAATTATTCTACATTTCTATAATCTCAGGTTTGTTATCACTTACATGGCGGTATTAATAATACCTATTTGCTAGAATTATTGTAAGAATTACTATATAGAAGTAAGGCTTGCAATGTACATGCACAGTATTTGGCCCAGTGTAAACCTCAACATATTTTATCTTAAAAAAGGAAAATTAAAAACAAATAAAGAACTAGAGTATGGGTTCTCTAACTCAATGCCACAGTGGCAGAAGCTAATGATGCACTTTATAAATTTGTCTGTCTCAAACCTATTGCAAAGATTTCTCCCAAAATCAAACTTCTTCCTAGCTATAACTATATTTGGGAAACTGACATTCAAAAAAGGGAGACATTTTGAAACTAAGTAAGGGTGATGGATGTGATAGCAATTGGTCTGCTAGAGGCACTGCACTGAAAAAAATACATATATCTTTTTGGCAATAGGGAAGAAAGTGTGTGTATTTGTTATATACATACTTGTTCTATTAGGGGGGTATTTGAAAATTTATATTTGTTTATTCTCAGGAGAATCAAGTGGTTGAAATACCTTATTCCCAGAGTGATTGTGATTTCCTAATATTTATGTATAAGAATAATGTAATTGTTATTTCCTCCCATTAAGAACATGCTATTTTAACTTCTTTTTTGCCGTCTAGGAGCATATTGCATTCCCTACATAATAAGTAGATCATCTACTAAATTTGTAACTTTGAGTCTTACTTCTTTGTCTGTGAAAGGGGATTAGTGACCAATAATTTATATTTTGAGAGACTTAAAAGATTTGAAGGTAGGAAAAGTGCCAAGAGCAATGTTTGACGCATAACAGACATACAATAAATAAATGATCCTTTTCCTAGCAGCTACCACACAAAATATGCTACCATAGGGAACTAAAAATCATTTTCAAATCAAATAAGGACTAAACTATTGTCTAATAGACAATACTGACAGAATTCAATGTGATGTGATAAAAATTTCAGACCAAAGCAGACCTATGGTTTTTCTATTCTGTGTCTTTAAAGACAAATAGCCAAGACTTTCTGCCAATCAGATGTTTTTCTACACGTCACCAGTTTGCTATTTTCTTTGTGTCTATTACTATTAAGTGGAACAATATGTTATTATAAAATCTGTATAAAATATAATACATCCTCTGATGCTAGGAGGAAATGAAAATAAAATATTTAAACTCTTATATTTATAATAATATTTGGAAATCACAGCCAATCAAGTACTATCCAGAGGTTTAGTGGGTACTTTGGATCTAAAATTATTCCCCCAGGTGCTCCACATATGGCAGATCACTCGATTATAGACCTCTCCACTCCTAATGCATAAACATTCTGGATTTAATAGACAGAAGTAAATGTTAGTCGTTTCCACAAAGACATTTTGCAGAGGTATCTGATATTTTTATGGCAAAGTCAATTAAGGCTAAGACCAGCAGAGCATATCAGTGTTAATTTTTAATGAGGCTCATTAATGAAATAATTAAGTTTGTATATGGGTTTAACTTATACATAATCTCTTCATTGTGGTTCAGATAGAGACATTCTCATTTTATAATTACTATATTTTATTAACATCAGTTTTCACCCATTAACAAAGGTGGAAGAGAATAATTAGTCAGTATTGACTTCAGTTCTTCTATTCCAAGAACAAACCTCGACTACGTGATAAAAATAATCCATATTTTTGTTAAAGTCAGCCTAAGAGAAAAATAACAAGGGCTTACACTACTTTGGATGAAAAAAAAGATAAGTAAAACTGATCCTTGCAACTATATGTCTTTTATAAAATTGATGGCATATATCTTCATTAAGTCTGTCCACATTCCGTACTTATAATATTTATCTCCTAATTTAACATCTTTAATTCCACATTCCAGGTCTTCCTCCTTCCCTTACTGAATTACACCTTGATGGCAACAAAATCAGCAAAGTTGATGCAGCTGGACTAAAAGGACTGAATAATTTGGCTAAGTAATAATGTTCTTTCATGACATTCTATCAGAACAATGGCTAGGTATATTAGTGCTTATATCATGAGAATTAAAAACACGATGATTGATTTTTGGCTGTACTACATTTTGCTGCTGTTCTTGTTTCTAATAATCTGAAACTTTAGCATATCCAATTATTTCTTGAGAGAAAACCCATGAACTAGTATACCTACTAAAACCACCAAGATCAGCTCATATTTTATTAATACTGTACTGTTTATAGATTAGTTATATTTTATAAACAAAGTATTTGATTAAATCAACATGTGCATTTAATATGTTGTAACTTATGTGCCTCAAACAGAAGGTGTAAATTATAACACAGTGTCCAGAATTGGAAAATGCATTAAAATGAAATTTACTGAGACATGGAAATGTTGAGCATCACACAGATTACTAGTTCAGTAGTTATGAGATTCTCTAAACCCCTCTTCTCTGAGGAGTTTAAAATAAAATATCTCTGGACATTTGATGTAGATCAACAAAAGAAAAGCGTTTGTTGTTGTTTTTGCTAGCCCTTCTTAATGATTTTTTAAACCACTAAGTGATACTAGTACTTGTCCTGCTTTCCAACATAACTTCCATCTGGTGAACATTTGTCTTCAGCAACACTATGTTCTTCTTGACTTGTACATATTGCTGACTGTTCCTACAGAGAAGCACAGAATCATGCCAAATTTACTCATTCCTGCTTTTCTGTATAAATTTCAAGGTGGATAAATGATTATAAAATATATCTTTGAATCTTTAAGAAATACATGAGACCAAATGGATACGTAATGCAGCTTTTCCAATTTCTATAGCTATTCCTCAATGGCCCCGTAGGTGGTGAGGGTTGAAGGTGTGCAAATGCATGTGACTGTAGTTATACTATATTACCATGGTGTCTCAGGTAATAAGACATCCTTCATTCACATCTTTTAATTTCAGTCTCTAATGCAGAAAACATTTTTCACAATCGTATTATGTATCACCTACCCTTCTTCATTGATTAGGTTCATTTAGCTGCAGAAAAATGTAGACAGCTACATTGCCTTGGTTAATGTGTAGCACTGACTTTAGTACCATTTTTATTTGTTATAATCAGTAGTAATTGTAGTAGAAATAAACAATATTCTAATTTTTTTAATACAGAAAATCATTCTCAAAATGTGTGCCATCTTAGAAAAAGCTTATTTTGCACTAAAAGTGTTATGACATTTGATGTTCTGTACTTTAATATTGATGTCATATGCTCTGCATCAAACCAAGGTGTTAAGACCTCGAAACTTTGAAGAGACCAACCGAAGTTCAGAGATCTCTTCACATTAATTTTGAATTTCATTTATTAAATTAGAACAGAATACCTAATTGGTCAGAAAATTTTCTCAATTCCTGAATTTATCAAACATATTTCTTTTTGGAAACAAATCCAGGAAAGTCTGTCTATTAAACCATCAAATCCTTATGTTGTTTATTTCTAATTGATATTGGAACATGAGAAATGTTTTGGTGCTGAAAATAAAAACTGAAAAGATGAAAGAAACAGCCACTGATCTCAGAACAATTTTTATGGTACAAATGTTTGAATTGGTTCTTAGGAACTAGTAGGAAGAAAATAATGTATGAAAATAATGCATGCTCTGCAAAAATATAAAATGGTTTTCAGGCAACCTTCTCTTACTTTTCTTATTAAGTAAAAATAAAATTATAATGTCTTATAATTTATATATATATATATGTATATGCATGTGTGTGTGCATGCATGCATGTGTGTGTGTGTATGTATAATCAACTCCCTTACTAGGTAAAATATTATTTGATGGGAAAAGTGGTTTTTGATACATGAGACCTCTGTCCTTCACAATGCCTAGTATAATATGCATATAGTAAGTTACCGAGACCATTTGTTTATTAAACATGCAAATAGATGTCTGAATAAGTGAACAGTTTTAAAAAATAAATTATTAGGGATATTGTGTTTCAATAATGTGGTAGTCCAAAATTGAATATTGGAATTTGGGTTTTGTAAGAAATAGATTCTATCCAATCACATTCTGTCAGATGAATCTCAGAGAGTAACTTTTAGCCAAGATCTTAAGAATAAATGGGTTTTGTCCACGCTCATAAAGTTAGAAAAAGCACTCCAACAACTAGAAACAGTAAGTGCAACAACAAAAAATGTCCTTTCCTATAGACTTGATAATTTCACAATGCTTGTAAGAAAGGCACCCATGTTGGTGTTTGTTTTTATTTCTGCTTTCTGTTGTAGGTTGGGACTGAGTTTCAACAGCATCTCTGCTGTCGAAAACGGCTCTCTGGGCAACACACCTCATCTGAGGGAGCTTCACTTGAACAACAACAAGCTTACTAGAGTACCTCCTGGGCTGGCAGAGCATAAGTACATCCAGGTAATGCAAAGCCATGCTTATGCGAGGAATATCCAGAGAGCAAACCCCTATTTAATGGGATGCTAGGAGGCAGGAAGCTCTCCTTAGAATTGTTTTTTTTTTTTTTGCAGAGTGTCTTAGAATTTCTATGACAAAATCCCATAAACGAAAATTAAATCAACAAGCACAATTTACATTAGCTAGGTCTCAATAAAGTGTCTGATTTTAGAAGTATGAAGATAAAACTTAGTCTTTTTTTAATGCTGATATTTTTTCAGTAGGGGTGGTGGTGTTGGTGGTGCAATAGTGAGAGGGGGAGTTCGAAGACACAAGCAAGATCAAAATTCTTTTTTTTACTGTCATTATTAATTTTAATTTGCAAATTATTCAATAATTGACTGGGAGGAGCTTCTTTGGTCTAGTTCCTGCATATTTTGCCATGGCCTCCTCATTTTTCTTTTTAATTTTCTCTAAAAAATAAATATGCGCTACATGTGCAGAACATGCAAGTTTGTTGTATAGGTATATGCATTCTATGGTGGCTGCAAGTATTGATCCATCCTCTAAGTTCACTCCCCTCATCCCCCCACCCCATCTTGTGTGTTTTGTTCCCCTGTCTGTATCCATCTGTTCTCTTTGTGTCCATGTGTTCTCAGTGTTCAACTCCCACTTGTGAGTAAGAACATGCAGTGTTTGGTTTTCTTTTCCTCTGTTAGTTTGCTGAGGATGATGGCTTCCAGTTCATCCATGTCCCTGCAAAGGACATGATCTCGTTCCCTTTAATGGCTACATAGTATTCCATGGTATATATGTACCATGTTTTATTTGTCCAGTCTATCACTGATGGGCATTTGGGTCAGTTTCATGTCTTTGCTATTGTAAGTAGTGCTGCGATAAACATATGTGTGCATGTATCTTTATAGTAGAATGATTTCTATTTTTTTTTTGGTATATAGCCAGTAATGGGATTGCTGGGTCAAATGGTATTTCTGGTTCTAGATCCTTGAGGAATCACCACACTGTCTTCCACAATGGTTGGACTAATTTATGCTCTCACCAACAATGTAAAAGCGGTCCTATTTCCCCACAGCCTCACCAGCATTTACTGTTTCCTGACTTTTTAATAATCGCCATTCTAACTGGAGTGAGATGGTATCTCATCTCCAGCCACAGGGGATTATTAATCTATTTTATCACTTTTGTTTGCTTTCATAGACCATAGTTTTGTGTAGAACCTGAGAATACTTTAACATCTAGAAATTTTATAATTTTAGCTCCTATATTTGGTTGTATAATCCAATTTTGAGATAATCCCTGTATATGGTATGAGTCTAATTCATTTTCTATATGTGGATAGCAATTGTCCCAATGCCATTTGTGGGAAACAATATTATTTCTCCAAGGAATTGTCTTGTTTCTTTGTTGAAAATCACTTGACCACAAATGTAAGAGTTTATTTCTGGACTTTCAATTTTATTACACTTATCTATATGTTTAGTCACATGACAGTATTGTACCTTTCAATTATTGTAGCCTTACGTCAAGTTTTGAAATTAGAAAGTGTAGGTCCTGGCCGAGGGCAGTGGCTCATGCCTATAATCCCAGCACTTTGGGAGGCTGAGACGGGTGGATCACTAGGTCAGGAGTTCAAGACCAGCCTGACCAACATGGTGAAACCTCATCTCTACTAAAAATACAAAAATTAGCTGGGCATGGTGACACACGCCTGTAATCCCAGGTACTCAGGAGGCTGAGACAGGAGAATTGTCTGAATCTGGGAGGCGGAGGTTGCAGAGAGCCAAGATCGTGCCAGCCTAGGTGACAGAGTGAGACTTCGTCTAAAAAAAAAAAAAAAAAAAAGGGAAATGTAGGTTCTCCAAATTTGTTTTGTTTTGTTTTCAAAGTTATTTTGGCTATTCTGGTTCTTTTGCATTCCATATAAACTTTAGGATTAACTTGTTCATTTCTGGAAGAATATTCTTGTAGGGCTTTGATTGTTTTGAATCTATAGATAATGACTATATTAACATTAAGCCTTCCAATACACGAGGATTATTTATATCTTCTTTTCTTATTCTCAACAGGTTTTGTCATCTTTAGCATATATGTCTTGCAATTCTTTTACTACATTCATTTTTTTCATTCTTTTTGATGCTGTTTTGAATGATTAATTTTTTTACTGGTGTGCTGCTAATGTACAAAAGTATAATTGATGTTTATGTATTGAGCTATCCTAGTACTATGCTAAATTTGTTTTTAGTTATAGTGATTTTTGTGAGTTCCTTTGGATATTCTATATTCAGGATATATTATTTACAAATAGCTTTAATTATTTTATTTGGATTCTTTAAGTACACCACTCTGCCCCCAACCCACCCATTACATTGGCTGACATCTCCAGTGCAATGTTGAATGGAGGTAATGAAATTAGACATCTTTGCCTTATTTGCTAGTTTAGGAGGAGGAAGCATTCATTGTACCATTAGTTATGATGCTAGCTATAGGTCTTCTATAGATGCTTTTTATCAAGTTGAAGAAGTTCCCTTCTGTTTCAGGCTTACCAAAAACACTTATTATGAATGTTGTTGTTTTTTCTTACATGTTTTTCCTGCATCTATTGAGATAATCATGTGAGTTTTGGCCTTTATATTTTTGATATACTGTATTACATTGATTGATTTTCACATGTTAAACTAATTTTACAACCCTGAGATAAATCATGTTTGGTCTCATAGTATATGATCGTTTTACATGTTGTGAAATGTAGCTTCCTAATATTTTGTTAAAGATTTTTTTTGTCCCTATGCATAAGAGATATTTGATTACAGTTTTCTCTTCTTATGATGAATTTTGTCTGGCTTTAGTCTTAGAAAATATTGATCCCATAGAATGAGTTTCGAATCTACTTTTATTTTCTTTACACAGGCTAATACTTATGTCTTGATATTTTCTTCTCTTGTTTTCAATGTTAGCCATAAGTGCTCACCAAACACCCCTTCCTTTACTTGCTGGAACATAGAGGATAGTAAGTGACAACAAGAAACTCAAAATTTGAGACTCATAAACCATGCATATAAGTGTTGCTTTCACTTGAATATTCCTTGTTTCTGTTTTTATATGACATCTACTAGTTTGCTTTTAAACCCTTACAGAAACAAAGTCATTTTAACCAGCACATAAATGTGAATGTCCTAGGAGGTAGAGCAATGTTTCAAGTTATTTTTAAGGGAGTACTTCATAGGTTTTATAGCTCACTTTAGACCTTGTTGTCTTAGTGTTATATTCTAACCTAGCTTGTATGATTTTGGATTCGTTGCTTCAGAATTCATATCCTCAGAGTGGAAGTGTAAACTTATTTCTAACATTCTTTGTATAAGTCTGATATTTAGTGACCCTAAGAAAATCTATGGACAAATTACCATTATCTTAAACATGATTGTAAAACATAATTCAGAAAAAAATTATGATTTATTATATAGCACTATATTCATTGAGTAAAATGTATTACATAAAATCCACATTTGTTAAAACTTCTAGGTTTAACAAATTTATTCTAAATGCTGTGATATTTAAATATTTAAGTACTTTTTGGAGTTTGTGATTATTTCAATTCCAGTACTTTATACCCGCTTTTTCTTTTTCACTACATAGCACTTTCTCATTCTGTATAATTTTGTTAAAAGGTTTATATATTTTTACCCTGAAACCATAATGTTTCATGTAGGCCCAATATAGTTATGTAGACCTGGTATATGAAATAACATTTATTCATTCAACATGTATTTATTGAACACCTGCTCTGTTCTAGTACTGAAAATGCAGCCATAAACAAGCAGAACCATTCCTATCTCATGGAGCCTTTACTTTAGAGGAGAGAAACAAACAATAGCAAATATGCATAATATGCTACATATTGATAATGCTATGAAGAAAAATGAAGAAATTTAATATAATTCTGCCCCAGAGAATGGCAGAATGGGGTGGTCAAGGAGGGTATCTCTGGTAAGAAAAAGTGAATTACATGAGGCAGCAAGCTTTGACGATGCTTTAGAGATCATTCTAGGTTGAGTAAATGCTGTTGATAACTTAAGAAGAGATCATGCTTTGTGCGTTAGAAGAGCAGCAAGTAGACCAGATGATTGGCTTGTACAGTAAAGGAAGAGGTCAGAGTAAAAGGATATTAGATCATGTAGGATGTGTAGGCCCCTGTAAGAACTTTGGATTTTATTATTCTGCATAACACAAAAAATAGGCGGGCATGGTGACATGAGCTTGTAGTCCCAGCTACTCAGGAGACTGAGACAGGAGAATAGCTTGAACTTTGGAGGCAGAGGCTGCAATGCACTGGGGTCACACCACTGCATTCCAGCCTGGGTGACAGAGCAAGACTTTGTCTCAAAAAAAAAAAAAAAAAAAAGTGAAGGATAAAAAATATTAAAAAGAATAAACTATTCAGCTGAAGGGCCTCAACATTTAGAGAATAACAATTATTGTTTTATGTTGCAGGTTGTCTACCTTCATAACAACAATATCTCTGTAGTTGGATCAAGTGACTTCTGCCCACCTGGACACAACACCAAAAAGGCTTCTTATTCGGGTGTGAGTCTTTTCAGCAACCCGGTCCAGTACTGGGAGATACAGCCATCTACCTTCAGATGTGTCTACGTGCGCTCTGCCATTCAGCTCGGAAACTATAAGTAATTCTCAAGAAAGCCCCCAATTTTATAACCTGGCAAAATCTTGTTAATGTCATTGCTAAAAAACAAATAAAAGCTAGATACTGGAAACCTAACTGCAATGTGGATATTTTACCCACATGACTTATTATGCATAAAGCCAAATTTCCAGTTTAAGTAATTGCCTAAAATAAAAAGAAATTTTGCCTGCCATTTTCAGAATCATCCTTTGAAGCTTTCTGTTGATGTTAACTAAGCTACTAGAGATATTCTTATTTCACTTAATGTAAAATTTGGAGTAAATATATATGTCTATATTTAGTAAAGCTTTTCTTTTTTAATTTCCAGGAAAAAATAAAAAGAGTATCTTCTGTAAATCATTGAGCAGTTAGCTCCTTTGAGATAAAGTCAAATGTCAATCACTAGCTCTGTATTAACCCCCATTATTACTGGTAAAGCCTCATTTGAATGTGTGAATTCAATACAGGCTGTGTAAAATTTTTGCTACTGTCATTATTTTGAAAAAATAAATTTAAAAATACATTCAAAATTGCTATTGTATACAAGCTTAATTGTAAACATTCCCTAAACACAATTTTATGAAGGGAGCAGACATTGTTTGTTGACAATAACAGTACATCTTTTCAAGTTCTTAAGCATTTCTTCTACCTCTCCCTGTCTTTCATCTGAGTATGGTCATCTGTTTAATGTAAGCTTAAAAGCACAAAGCATACATTTCCTGATTGGTCTAGAGAACTGATATTTCAATTTATTCTTCTGCTAAATAAATATTAAAACTATCATGTGTACTTCATGTAATCAGGCTGCACATTTCTACAATTACTAGATACATTAGACATAATTATTTTCTTTAGTTAAACACCCAATGTTAGAAGTGTTTTCTGTAGAATTTAGCAATAGCTATCAATGCATACAATTTAACAAGCCTGGGGATGATTTACTTAGAGTAAACATTTATCAAATTGTACATTTATGATATCAATGATTAATAAGCAAATATGTGAAAATAGTTTTCTATGAAGTTGAATATTTGACAGTTAAAAATCCTATCAATTGTAGTTTCATATGGCAAATAGTAATTGAAATACTACAGGATACATTTAAATAATTTATTAAATACAGCAAATAATTGAAATATGATTAGAATACATTTTATCACAGAAATACATGCAGTTATAGTAGTGGCTCACATGAGAGGTGATCAGTTCTGCTAATAGTAGCAGACTGAGTACAGTGAAACATCAAAACTTGAGGAGATAGCAGTTGAGGTGAATTTCCATAGATGCATAATAGCTCAAGAACAAGATTTTGTGGGGAGGCACTATTCAAGACAGGGACTAAGTTCAAAAACAAAGAGGTATGCCTGGATACATTTCTCACAGGTTAGCATAAAGGAGGCTTAGTCAAACTTTTTCTTCTTCTGAAACAGGAGGAATACTTTTCATTTACATTTGACATATCCTGAGCTAATATTAACATTAGGGAAACTTAACTCTTTTCCATCTTTTCACTTTCTTGCAGGATCATAAAAATCTGAATTTTCCAGTATATTTAATAAAAGGGAGGAAACCTTTCTTTTTCTTCTGTCTTTCATCTCCCAAGAGATCCTTCTTTCATGACTACAGTTGAAGAGGTGGTTTCCACTGGAAGATGTTCAGAAATTCAGGGAGGATGTCCATCAATGGACACTTTTTTCTTTAGAGCTGGATCTTGAATGATGCATCCCTCTCTCCATTGTAACCTTAAATAATGCACCCTTCACATTATAGCCTTGAATGAAACACTCTTCTTATTGTGACCTTGAATGATACACCCTGTATAGTGTGGCCTTGAGTGACTCACTTTTCATGTTGTAGCCTTCAGTGATGCACACTCTATGTTGCAGCCTTTCTCTTATGGGGAAAAGTCTGCAGTTTTCCTGCTGCTTAACTGACAACTGTGATGAGAAATAAGTAGATATCTAAAGAGGAGAATATCATTTTGGACACTTATCTGTAAGGCAGATCCAATACACTTTCTCAGGATCAAGCTATTTCTAATTATGTTCAGTATCAAAATGAGAGACAGGCCTGATTCTCCATCCAGCACTCCTCACTTAAGTGTCAATACAACTTCCCCTCATATATATATATATATATATATATATATATATACACACATATATATTTATATATGGAGAGAGACACACACACATATATATACATATATTTACACAGATACATATATATCTTCTCTTGAACTATTATGCATTTCAAAATAAAGATATATAATAAAGATATGTTTATATTTCCTTAAATAAAGTAAAGATCTAAATATAAAGATATCTATAAATATATTTATCTTTATTTCCTTTGAAATGCATAATAGTTCAAGATAAATATATATTTATTTATTTGTTTATTTATCTTTTTTATTTCTGCCTTTATCTTCATCTTCACATGGCCTTCTCTCTCATGTGTTTGTGTCTTTTCGCCTCTTACGCTGTGGACATGAGTTATATTGGATTAGGGCTCATCCTAATTTAGTATGATCTCATCTTAACTTGATTATATCTGCAAAGACTCTATTTCCAAACAGAGTCACATTCACAGGTGTTGGGGATTCAATCTTGAACATAGCTTCTGGGAAGAGACACAACTTAATCATTAATATCTACTTTCTTTTTTTTTTATTAAATGTTTACTTCTTTTGTGTGTTTTTATTTTTATTAAAATTGTTGTTCGGTCATGTGTGGTTAACATAAAAGATTGAAAATTATGAGTTTATCTCTGACTCCTTCTGGTTGGAAAAACCTCTGTTGTACATTTATGCTAGCCTTGGTCATGCCACTTTCTTAGGGGCAGGCATCTTAGTTTATTCAAGTGATCCAGATTTTCCAGAGCACAGTATTCACATTCTTTTCAAGCATTTCTCTTCAATGACCTTGACCTGGCAATAAATGTTACTATGTCATTCACACGACATAACGTAGGGATAACTTGGATCTCCTCTTCTGATCATTCATTTGTCTGAATCATCACCATTATCTTTATTATTTTCCTTTCCCCTTCTCCATAACACTCTTCTGAGAAACCATTTTATTCCACAATTTTATTGCAGAGGCAGCTGCAGGATATCATAATCTTATCTTTATACAAAGGAAGAAATGCCTAATCCCTCAAGTAAACTAAAAATATTTTATATGGTCATTTCTCATTCATCCAAAGGTTCAGGCGGTCCCAGTGCAAGACTGCCCCTTCACACACACAACTCTTCACAAGGTTTCATTGTCCTTCATACTCTCCGGCAGCACAGACATTCGAGGTTGCTGAGTCGACATTGCAGTCATTTCACTCTTGATTTTTTTGCTGCTCACTTTTCAATTCCCACACTTATTGCTTAAACATTCCTTTTGGTGAATTTGTTTATGTATTCAAATACGCCATCTGTCACAATTACTTAAAATCACAGGTCTGTGACAGACTGTCAATTTCACACTACGAAGTATAATAGTGGAAAACAAAGTAAAATCAAGAAAGGGAGAACACTCAACTTATTAAAACCACATATAACCATAATCATTCAGGAAAGTAAAACAGCCTTCAATGAAGTCGAATAATTTTGAGCCAAGAGAAAGGCCATATGCACACCCCACCCCAGTCAGTATAAGATAACGAGAAAAGCACTGGGTGGGTTGCCTCCCGAGTATTATGACTCCCAACAATCATTTAGCCATTGGAGATAAGGAGAGCCTGCCCGGACCATGCATTTTGTAGGGAATGTAGGGCTGAATGAATGCTTTCAGGCCATCAGGAACAACAATAGAAACACAAATCAATTTTAAAGTATACTCAAAAATATCAGAATAATCCAACTTTTCTGTGTTGATCAGATATATCTACTAGCACACATTACTTCATTTATTTAGCCGATATTTATTAACAATCTACTGTGTGCTTGACAGTGTTAGTGGCAGAGACACAGCAATGAATAATATCTTGTCCCCTGCAGCAGATGTTGCAGCAGGAGGAGACATTCCAGGACATGACAATTAAAGTGGAGGAATTTCAAGCAGAACTGGGGAATAAGGGATGAGAAGGGGGTGGGACTTGTTATTTTATATAGGATGGTTGGAAAAAGACCTTATCGGGAGTGATATTTGAGCAGGGAGGTGAAGAACTGGAGGGAGCAAGCCAAGAAAAGGGGCCCTGAATTTGGAAAATACATGACAGGTTCCAGTAAGAGCAGAGAGGACAAACGTGAACAGAGTAAAGTGAGCAAGGAGAGACAATATACGATACAAGGTCAGAAAGGTAATGACAACCATATCTTGTAGGACTTTTTAGGCCATTGTAAAGATAAGCTTTTACTCTGAGTAAGACAGGGAGCTATTAGAGGGGTCTCAGCAGGGAAGTGACTTGATTCAACTGTCTTTGAGAGGATCCTTTTGTGTGTATAGACTAAGATAACAGGGATAGGTCAAAAGCAAATATTTAGGATGCTAGTGCAATAATCAGGTGAGAGATGATGAAGACTTTGATCTAAATAATAGAAAAATTGTTGAGAAGGGATCAAAATATGGGTTTGTTTTGATGGCAGAGAGGCTACGGATGGCTGAATGATCAGATGGGGCATGAGAGAGAAAGAGAAAAGACAGAGTTGACTTTAGGAATTTTGGCCTGGGCCGCTGGAAGGATGAAGTCACCATTTACTGAGATGGGAATGACTGGGAGGATGAGTTGGAAGAACTGAGAATCAAATGTCTGGTTTTGAATCTGTTCTTTTCGAGATGCATATTCAACTTCCATATGGAGGTGTCAAGGAGGATTTAGATCTAGAATTTCAGAGTTCAAGGGAAAGGGTTGAGCTGTAGACATAAATTCTAAAGATGCCAGAATATAGACTGTGGTCCTTCTTTATCAGCACAGAAATGACTTGACTTTATCCAAACTAAGCAGTCATACTGTACATGTTAGCAACACATTTTACAGAGCCAATTTGGCCTTTTGCAATGTTCTGTGGTTTCTAAGATAAATAAACATATTATATGTTTCCTTCTGGATGCCTTTGCTATGATCCTGTCAGCATTTCCAAAACAGTTCTTGCTTGAACACCACCAAGGAAAGAAAAAACCCTCTTGAGAAAGAAATTATTGTGTTTTTTTTTTTGTTTAAAAAAAATCCCTGTGTTTTGACTTATGGGTTTAAAAATTATAAAAACAGTCTAGTTTCTGTTTTTTTCAAGAGATCACATTAACAAAAGTGTGGCTTGGTGCCTATTTTGAATGTGAGTTGATAACTTGCTCATGGTTTGACAGTTATAAACAGTCTTATAGCATAAAGAAAGCATATTCCTGAAACTGCAGGAGGTCTCAGTGAACCTCAGGCATTATACCAGCATATTTAACTAGAAAATTATAAAAACACTTACAAATTCTATAGCAAAGGCCATTGTTACATGGAATCATGGCATAAAATGGCTCCATATAATTCTGTAAATATTTATATTGATGACTAGTATATAAAGCAACCATATTGCCACTTGGTCTGGCA